CCTTTGTCTGAGGAGCAGCTGGTAAAAATTTTTTCCCACATTGTAGGTTGTCTCTTAGCTCTTTTGGTAGTTTTTATTGCAGTGCAGAAGCTTTTTAATAAGATGAGATCCCAGTTGTTGACTCTGTGCTAGTTCCCGTGCTACTGAGGATTTGTTCATAAAATCTTTTCCTATGCCAGTGTCTTCAAGAGTTCTACCAAACTTATTTTCCAGCAAGTTTAGTGTTTCTGTTTTAATATTTAGATCTTTAATTCACTTTGGTTTTAGTTTAGTGGTTGGTGAAAGATAGGGGTCTAGTCTTAATCTTTGACAGGTTGAAATCCAGTTTTTCCAACACCATTTATTAAAGAGGCTATCTTTCCTCCCGTGAGGGTGGTTGGATCCTTTGTCAAAGATGAGGTAGCTGAGTATGTCTGGGGTTGTTTCTGTACCTTCTAATGTATTCCACTGGTCCTCAGGTCTGTTTCTTTGTCAGTACCATGCTGTTTTTATCACAGTGGCTTTGTAGTATAGTTTCAAGTTGGGGATTGTGATACCCCCTACCTTGTCTTTGTTGCCTAGTATTGGTTTTGCTATTCTAGGCCTCATCTGGTTCCAAATGAATTTTTGGATTTTTTTCTCTAGTTCTGTGAGATATACCATTGGGATTTCAATCAGGATTGCATTGAATCTGTATAGCAGTTTTGGAAGTATGGCCATTTTTGCTATGTTGGTTCTTCCTACCCAGGAGTGGGGGATGTCTTTCCATTTTCTTATATCCTCTTCGATCTCTTTTTTCAAAGTGCTGTAGTTTTCAGTGTAGAGGTCCTTTGTCTCCTTCATTAGATTGATTCCTAGATATTTCATTTTTGAGGAATGCTATTGTACAAGGAATTGTTTCCTTAATTTCTCTCTCAGTCTGTTATTTATGTACAAGAAGGCTATTGATTTTTTAGTGTTTATCTTGTATCCAGCTACTCTACCAAATCTGTCAATTAAATCTAGAAGTCTTTTGGTGGGGTTTTTTGGGTCTTCTATGTAGAGTATCATATTGTCAGCAAATAATGACAGTTTAACTTCTTCCTTTCCCATCTTTATGCCTTTTATTTCTTTCTCTTGTCTAATAGCTGTGGTTAATGTTTCCAGAACTATACTGAACAGGAGTGGTGATAGTGGACATCCTTGTCTTGTTCCTGATTTTACTGTGAAGGTTTTGAGTTTTTGACCATTTAGTATGATGTTGGCTGTTGGTT